GATAATAAATGATGTGGCATAGCCCTACCCACCAGGCACACGCTGAGGACAGAGGTGGGGTGACACTTACCTTTAGCAAAGCGGTCCCCGGGGTAGATGTGGCGGTTGTAAACGTCCATGATGTATACACGCCTGTCACCCATGAAGTCTCGCTCATGGCCATTGCCCTGCGGGCAGACACAGCTGTCACTACAGGCACCCGCTCTCAGGAAGGGGGTATCCCCAACCACCACAGGAACTGCCTCCGGCTCTGTGTGGTGGGCTAGACCTTGGGGACCTAGTGCCAGCCAGCAGAGCTGGACACACTCCAGATCGGAACCTGCAGTATGCCCAGCTCTGTCTCTCACCCTCTCTGTGAAACAGGGCAGGGTCTGGCCCTGCCACCCTCTTGGCTCTGCAGCGGTACCAGTGGAACTGGGACATGGAGGACGAACTGTAAGGGGCTGTGTATGTGTGACTTGGTTTACTTAGAGCAGAGTATGGGTCAGAGAGCAGTTGGGGGTTTTGAGGACCCTCCTGGTGTAGGAGTGGTCAGCAGGAGGCAGTGAGACCCCTTGGGTTCAAGGACAGGAGCGATGAGGAGGATCTGCCACCCTAGCGGGACTGAGCTGCCAACAGGGAGACAGACCCTGAGTCTGCACCTTGAGCGAAGCAGACGACGCTGGCTGAAGCAGACTTCAGCCATTTCCAGGAGGAGAGTATCCACAGTGTGGGGCTGGGTGACAGCCAGAGGCTGCCAGGGACATTGGAAGGGGACTCTCACCACAGGGAAGTGCTGGGGCCTGGGCTCCTGCAGCGAGCTCACCTGATGGGCATCAAGATCAATGATGGTGGCTCTGCAGATGCCTTCCACCCGTTCAAACAGGAACTGACAGGGAGAGAAGACGTGTGAGGATCGGAAAGGCCAGAGGACCCAGCCCTTTAGGACTATGGGGTTGAGGGGTCAGGAGGACAGTGGGCAAGATATCGCTTTCCCTGGAGTGCTGGGGTGAGGGAAGAAGGGTGTGCGTGCGTGCGTGCGTGCGTGCGTGCGTGCGTGCGTGTGTGTGTGTGTGTGTGTGTGTGTGTGTCAGAGTGGTAGGGGTTGGTCAGGGAAGGCTCTGGGGGCAGGCAGTATACTATGACCTGAAAGTTGAGGGAATAGGTCCTCGATTCTCCAGGGAATGCGGGGGTTGACAGATGAGCCCCACAGTTGGAATTTAACTCCCCAAACTTTGCCTCATTTTATAACACTAAATGCTGATGCCCTCTCCTCCTCGAGGAGACCGTCCCCCTTCCCCTCCTGTGCCCTGTTCTAACAGCCAGCCAGGCCTGCTGACAGCCCATCTACATGCCTGTGAGAGCAGAGACCCATTAGCCTGGCACCCAGCATGAGACTGGGCAGAGAACACATGGGGGAGGGGGGGAGGGAAGCTCCCTTCACTCTGTTTCCTCATTTGTAATGCTCAAGGGTTCAGTGTGCAGGGGTGCGGGGTGGGGTGGGGGTGGGGGTGGGGGTCCGGGTTAGGATATGAAATCAGCAGCAGCTGTGCCGAGCTCTGTAGTCTCCTCGCCCCCCCCCCTTCCTCCTCTTCTCCCTCCCTCCCGCAGCCCACGCCTTTCTTCCTGTCCTCAGTCCTGAAGCCTGCCTGTCCCTCCTCCCACCACCCACTCCCAGCAGAGGCTCCCTCCTGCCTCGGACAGGCCTTCTAGTGGCCAGATCCAGGTTGAGTCTAGGCAAGAAAAGCAGCTGGGGGAAGTCCTTCTCCACTGCGAGGAAGCCCCTCCCCGCTGTGAGCCCACCCACACCCCCCTTCCCTGGCGTGTGTGATGCGCTCTAACACGGGGAGGGCTTCAGAAGTCAGGTACCGCAGGTTTCAGACACACCTTGATAGCTAGTGTGATGTCTGCGTAGGCACAGAAGCCTCCACCACGATCACTAGAGCAGTGGTGGAAGCCGCCACCTGCAGAAAGGCAGAGGGTGGTAATGGTCAGAGCCAGGCTCAGGTGCCTCCTAATCCCTACCATCCCCACAGCCACTTCCGGTTGGGATTCCAGACCGGCCAAGTGAGCAGAACACCTGGGCATGTCACCCAGGCCAAGAGGTCGCTCCATGCTGTAGCCACCTCACCCTACAGAAAAGGCCCCTCCCAGGGAGGCGCCGCCATGTCAGCCAGCTGAGCTGCCCTTGGACTCCCACGCCAGGAAGAGGCAGCACCAGCAGGCTTGCTGTGGACAGAGGTGACCGGGAAGGATGCCTTCTGCTGGCCACAGCTGTCCATGCCACCCCCAACCTGAGACACAGTCTGGGGGGTCCTTTTTGATTTGGACCAGAGAGATGCTGTTGCCAGTTTCCCGCTAGAGTGGCTAGCAAGCTGCTACTGCCCCTTTATCGCTGGAGACTGGGGGTTGTGGGAACCTTCGGACATGGAGACCCACAGTTACTCCTGCTCCCAGCCATGTAAGGTCGGGGCCATGCAGATGAAGGACTTGCCACACACACACACACACACACACACACACACACACACACACACACACACACACCGGGGACTCCTGACAGGGCACCCGGCTTGCCAAAGCCTCTCCAGAGCCCAGAAGAGAGCTCCATCGTCACCAGCACCTTTTTCAGAGGAGCTGCCTCAGGCACAGAGAGGGTCAACAACTTGCCCAGAGAACACAACTAGCAAACGGCAGCGCCATCAGGGGAAGCCGGGCTTGATCAGGACCCAGATGCTCAACTTGAACCAGGCCCCAGTTTCCACTATAGATGTGCTCCTTCATGAACGGGGGAACCACGTTACAGACACGCAGGGCACGCACCACCCGTGTGTTTGTGCAACGGGGCATCCTCACATTGCGGCTATGCCAGGTCTAATGCTGGGTACCCGGCAAGGCAGGCAGGAAAAACATGGCCCTCAGCCATGCAAAGTTCCAAAAGGGCTCAGAGCCTGCTACAGACCTTGCACAAGCCTGCACCTTCTCTCTATGTCCAGTTCCTCACAAGACAACGGTGCAGCAGCCAAGGAAGGTTCTTCGACTGTGACGGCAGATGTGCAAGGACCACACAGAGCCCAGGGAGCTGGGGAGCACCAGCCTTCAGGACCCCTGAGGTGGCACTGAGCCTGGGACCATCCACTCACCACATGACTAAGCCCTGTCCACTGGCCTAGACCCCACAAGGATGGAGTCTTTCAGGAACGCCACCTGGAGGCAACTGATTCCACACAGACATGCTCAGAGGATCTGCCCAGGGGCCTTCCTAAGGGATGGCTCAGGCTCTCTGGGTGGGAGAGGACTCCCTGCCATTGGAAATATGTAAACGCTGGTCAAGGGCCTTCTCAGGACAAATATCCCACAGCAGATAGAAACTGGGAGAGGCTTCACAAGAACAAAAAAAAGGCTGAATACTCACCCCCAGGTTCCTGAACTGGCTCTGAGGGCTTTCCCGTCCCTCTTTGCCCACCCCCTTTCCAGCTCCACCAGGCTAAGCCGGTCATTCTGAAGCCCCAGCACTCACCAACGTTGATGGCCCAGCCTCGTTCCACAGCCAGCTTCCCCGCCTTTGGAGACAAGCAGAGGGTAGAGTTCAGGCCTCCCCCTGCAGCAAGCATGCCTTCACTCCCTCAATATATAAGCTCTGGGCAGGACTAGGCCGCAGGTGGAATCAGGTGATACCCACCCCGTCTGTCAACAGACCAGCCGTGAATTTCATCTGGCCAACAGAGGGGAAAAAAAACAGACTGCCAGCATGTGGAAGAGTTCGGGGTATCCCTCCTGGTTTTACAAGGAAAACACTAGAAATAACAAGTGAAGTGAGCTGAGGATTCCCCTGTGGCTTTGGGAATGGAAACGAGACAGTCTGCTTTCCGCATAGGCTGGTGGCTGAAATCCTGCAGGCATTCAGGATGAGCAGCAATACAAAACATGGCAGTGTCGGAGGGCAATGACCATGGCTGGGATAGACCTCATTCGGATACAGAGAGTCCCTCAACTAGCTCTCCAGCCTGTGACTAGGGCTACTATAGAACATACTCTTGTTGGGTTATAAACACAGTAACTCAAATTGTTATTAGGTGGGGCAGGACTCTACAAGGCAAAGTGGGGCGGGGGTCAGGGGCCGCACACCCCACCCAGCCTACCATGATGGTGCCGCCGGTCTGGGTCCGCAGGGGCCTCAGCACCTTCCTCTGCACAAGGAAGTTGGGGAGAAAGATGACCGGGGGTATCTCAGTGATGGTAGCCACCACGAAGGACCACTGTGAAAAGAGACATGGATGCCAAACTTGGTGCCAGGCCCAGGCATGGTGGCTCCCTGCTCTGCATACTCTTTGTTGGGGAGTGACAGCTGTGAGCCACCTCTTTCTCCCAACTTGTTTGAGTTTGGGCACAGTGAAGTTGATGTCCTTGTTCTGAGGCACTCTGCTGCCCTCTTGTGTCCACAAAAAGGATTGCAGGTTGCTCTAAAGCTAAGCCTGCATGTGGCTCCTTAGCTTCCCACTACCCAGTAAGTACCAGGAGGGCCTTGGCTCTGGTGCCCAGCGCCAGTTAGCACTTCCTAAGTACTTAGGGACTGTGAGACACCCAGATGGGCTTGGAGTCCTGTCTTGTGCTGGGACACGTGTAGCCATGGCTAACAAGCCAGCAGGTAAATGATCCATCTTCATAGGAAAGAGAGGGCCTTGTGGAGAAGGCAACATCTACAAAACCTAAACAGTGAACAAGAGTCCCTAGATGCAGGCATTAGGCCAAAGAGGCAATTTAGGGCAAAGAAATTGAGTCCAGGAATGACAGAAGCTGGGCACGGCAGGGCAGGGCAGAGAAGCTTCTCCAGTTGTTCAGGAGAACACGGGCTCACAGTTTCCTGTCAGAGACACAGAGAAGCAAAAGCCAGAGCTGAAAACTAAATTCATAGGGACCCCTGAGCTCCACATCCAGCTGATGGGAGCCACTTTGTTACTTTCCTGCACTCCAATCCTTTCCGCCAGGCATGGAAGAAGCCTGATTTGATGTGTCTAGTGCGCTCTGCCGCTCTTTGTTCTTTTACTTTGTTAGAGACTTGATCTCTCTACATATCCCTGGATGTCCAGGTACTATGTAGACCAGGCTAGCCTCCAACTCAAAGAGATCCATCTGCCTTTGCCTCCTGAATGCTTCGATTAAAGGCGTGTGCCAATGCGCCCTGCTTGGTATTATTATTTATTAATTATTTTATAGACAGTTGTTCCTTGCTTTCCCAAGGGGACTGTTTCTTGGCCAAGCTCCACTGGGACTCCAGGCCCATGTGTAAATGGTCATACTTACATGGAACCTGAGCACATCCTCATGCATAAATCATGCCTAGATTGCCTATGACACAGGCTGTGCTACCACTCTGGGAGAATTTTATGCCACCGTTTAGGGAATAACACACGAAATTTGTATGTTAAGATAGATGCAATATTCTTTTTAGAATATTCTCCTTCTGTGGATGGTTGAAACTGAGAACAAAGGACCCAAATGTATGGACTCTTGCCTGTAAGTATGAGTAAATTTTGAGCTAAAGGTAGTGTGGTAGTACATGGCCACCACCCCAGGTTGGGATGTGGAGGCAGAATAAGTAGTAGTCCAAGGCTAACCTTGGCTACACAAGACCCTGTCTCAAAGAAACAAAGCAAAAATATCTCCATTTAAGTAGAATTCATGCCTCAGCTACTTCAGGTATGTTTCAAATGCTGGCCAGCCACTGTGGCCAGTGGTTGGATGGAGCAGATCTAGGACATGCCCATCATGATAGCTTTATCAGGCAGGACTGCTCTGGAAAAAAAAACAAAACTGTAGGTGACCGAGTAAAACACTGGTGCAGGGTGAGGTGGCCTGTGGCTCTAGAGGAAGAGGGGGAGAAAGGGTCTTGGCAGAGGGGGCTGTGGGCCAGGGAGATGGCAGTTACAGTGATGGGGTGAGTGGATGGGGGCTCACAGTAACACCGACACAGGGCAGGGTGGGCAGCAGAAGACGGAGCCACTGAGAAGGGCATTGGTGTGGAGGGGACAGCATGGGACAGATACAATTATCTGGGATGTGCAGCAGGCTAACCAGGGAACAGCCCGGATTTTTTTTAAGCAGAACCCACCCAGACTGCCTTGTGACAAACTCGGTCAGGACAAGGGCTTAGGGATGGTCAGGCTGGATGCAGGACCGGGACAGGGCTCTGAAGCCACGCTGGGCTCTGTCTCGGCTGTATGTTTTGGGGTACAGCTCTTTCCCTCTGTGCCTGTCTCCTTATCTGCAAAGCAGGGCCTGGAATGAGGGTGTCACTGTGGAGCCCTGCCGCAGAGGCCTGTCCTTACCTCTATAAAACAGTGTCCTAGCTGCCCAGAGGCTATCCTGGAGCTGCACACCACTGCCAGCACATCTGTGTCGATACCCAAGGCTACATGACATCTGTGTCTATCCCCTTCAGAGGGATACTAGTACCATCAATCTCAGATCTAAACTAAAACTGCCAGGCCTGGGGGCCCATGCCTGTAAATCTTGCTGCTCAGGAGGCCAAGCTTGAAGATCATTAGCTCAGACTAACCTTGTCTCAAAATTAAAAGGTTTTTTTGTTTGTTTGTTTGTTTGTTTTTTAAAGAGGGGGAGATTGATGTGACTTAGTAATTAGGTACTTGCCAAGGTTTGCTCTTTAGTATGGAGAAAAGAAAATTAAATAACTATAAAAGATACACAAAAAAAAGTAAACTCCCAGGGACCTCTGGGTCCTGTTACTTTTCTTCCACTGCCAATCAGGTCAATCCAATGCCTTGTGCTGGGGCTGTAGACTTCCTGATTCGATGTCCTCTTGAGTTCTCTCTGCTGCTTCTGCTATTGGTTATTTTACTTTTGCTCGCTATAAACTAATTCACTCCAAACTCATATGGCTATGCTAGACCTTGTCTTGGTACAGAACTGGAGTATAACCCAAATAACTGAGACTGGATATTGAAGTAAACATGTACGGGCATATCCATAGCAACACTACTGACGATCACCAGAGTGGAGAAATGACTCACATGTGCATAAGCCAATGGATGGGTAAACAAGATGTGATACACACATGGTAGAGTATTATACATCCAGGAAGAGGAATGTGTAGGGGGTGGTGTGTGGCTTGGTGACAAGGCCCTTGCCTTGCATACTTGAGCTCTGAATGCCAGCCACTGGGGAGGAGAATGCGTGATACCTGCTCAGTGTGATGTACAGTGAGGCAAGCCAGACACCAAAGCTCACATACTGATTCCATCTGTACAAAGTCAGGTACAAAGTACCTAAGTCTGTGGAGGCACGCTAGAGATGGGCAGTGACCGGGCAGAGGGCAGGGAGTACCAGGGAGCAAGTGCTCTGTAGGGTCAGGGTTTCCTTTCAGGGTGATGGGAACAGTTGTGGATCATGACATCACACGGTGGATGATGGAAACGCTGCTTTAAGACGGTAGCTTGTGTCATATGTGACTAACCACATTTTTGTTTCTTTAAAGAAAAGGAGAAATGGGCCTCTTGGGCAAGAATTGACAAAGTCAAAGATCCAGGCTCCCATCCCCCATAGCCTCTCCCATCTTCTGCCCTCCAGGTGCCTGGGGTCAGTGTCCCTCCCTCCACAGTGCTTTGCACTTGTGGCTCCTGCTTAGAGGAGCTACTACCCGTCCCTCACTCCAGGCCTGCTGGCCTCACTATCCTCACACCTTTCTGTGGACACTTGGCACCTGTCCGGCTAGTTATGTTCCTTCTCTGCTCTCCATTGGAGAGGGACTTGGTCTCTGGTTCCATCCCTTCCCTGCAGGACCCAGAACAGTATGCACGCTGGTCATGAACTTGCTGACAGGGCTCAGGGACAGACATCAGGATCTTCCCAGCTCTGACCTGCTTGTAGGGGGCAAGGCCCTAGAGTTCACAGCAAGTATAGGAACCGTGCTGATGCTGACCAGATGCCGCCCTGACTGGGCCCAGCTCTAGGCTGTACACACAGGTGGTGCTCCTGCACCAAGGTCATCTTTCTCTTTTGGTGCCTTGCTCATTGGGATGGAAGGCTACAGCAGTGCAGGACCAGGGATGAAGCCCAGGACAGGTCTGTGGACAGAGGAAAGGAGGCTGGGGAGAAGGTGCATGGTACACAGCACCCACAGACAGACCCAATAACAACCCTGGGAACCCTAAAGGGACCTGCTGGACACTGGACACCGCTTGAGATGTCCACAGCAGAGGAAAGGGACAGACAATGCAGACACGGGGTGAGAGAGCTGTGGCACCAGATAATGGGTCTCACTTGAGTGTGGACAGCCCCTCCCCCCTCCCTCCCCCACTGCAAACCTGTTCATAGGACTCAGGACAAAATGCATGTTTCCTCCTCAGCTAGCCTGATCGAATGTAGCCTGGTGCTGGCTAGCCAGGCCACACAAGACCTGGTGTATTTAGAAAGGTTATTTGTTTCTCCCTTTCCTCTGGCTGCCGGGGAGCTGTGAGCCAAATGTCACTTCATCATCATCCTGGTGAACCCCTATGCTATGTCGATACAGCTGTGTCCCCCACACCTCACCCCACCTCCGGTCTTACTTTCTATTCGGGACTCACAGACTACCCTGCTTCCAGATTTTGGGGACAAAGACCAGGCAGGCAGCCTGCCTTGTAGGTTTCCCTGAAGGTCTTATAGACGGGTGGGTTCCTGGTGACTGTCCCCCCAGCCCCAAGCCTGATCCCAGCTGCACTCTTGGTCTCTTCCTGTCCAAACTCAGAGCATCTACCCCTGCCTCCCCCCGCCCTTTGTACTCCTGGCCAGGTTCCTGGGCTATTGACTAACCACGCATGTCTGGGCCCCAGGAAACCAGGGCAGCCGGGCACTGGGCTTCGAGCCAGTGCTTCACACCTCTCTCCTGGGAGACAGGGTGCAGCCTCTTCCTGGCAATCTTTCATGAGCTCACACTCCCGTGGCCCATCTAGAATTCTCACAACTCAGAGGACACAGCTGGAGGGGAAAGAGCCCAGTAGCTGGGGCCCTGGTCCTGAACAGTGCCTGCAAGGGTCTTCCCACGCTTAACCAGCTCCCCCTAGGGATGACCTTGAGCCGGCACAGCCTACTGCCGAGCCAAGGTCTTTCCAGACAGAGTGAAGGGGCCTGTTGACTTCTGCCATCTGTGGAGTCCTGAGTCCAAGATGACTCTGACAGGAAGCTTAGGGGCCAGGCCTCCCACATTCTGAGGCAGAGAATCAATGGCACCCTGATGCAGCTCCAGTCAGGGCAGGCTGGCAGCCATGGTTTCTGACCCAGGCTCCCACGCCAACCTGCCACATAAAAGATGTACTAAAGACCTCGGCTCCCAATTGGAGCTTGCAGCCTCCTGTACAAAGAGGCCACAGGCAAACAGTGGTAGTCCAGTGTGGCTTGCAGTGAGGATTTAAAAATCTTACAGTTAGCACATTCAGAATCAAAGCAGGGGGCTGGGGGTATGGCTGAATGTCTAACATGCATGAGGCCCTCAGTTCAATCTTAACAATCATAAAAGAAATAAAAACCACCCCTCCCCGAAAAGCCCCAAGCAAAAAAATAGAAAAAAGAAAGAAATCTGAGAATATCATTTAATAATCAGCATCTGGCTTCTCTTGGCAAAGCGGGCACTGTAGTCATTCTGGGTCCAACCGTGTGGCAACCAACCACAAGTCCCGCATGGGAGAGAAAGGTCTTCTGCAATTCACCCCAGACACCTCCATCCGCCCCGCCCCCCCAGGTCTTTATGTTCCCTGCTGGACCCTGGGGGAGTTTCAAACCCAGTCTTAGCCCAAGAGTTTTCATTTACAGGAAGTCCTTAGAATTAGCATCTCAGCCCACTCAAAAGACAGGCCAGAGTGAAGTGGCCTTAGTGGACAGGACAAGGGCTGGTGTCCCCTTCCCACTAAAGTGATGATCCCAGCAGGGGCCTCTGCTGGGCCAGAGCACAGGCTGAAAGTCTATGTCCAAAACCTCTAAGCGGGTTCTGTCTGCATAGCCCTGCTTTCACATACCTCAAGATGGGGTGCTAACTATCCCCCGAGATGTCTTCTCATAGCCCTTCCTGATCTTAAGCACTAGAGACTCCTGTGCTAGGGACAGGAGGAGGTACCCCTAAGGCTGAGCCTCCCCTCCCCCAGCCACTGCCCCTGGCCACCGCCCACCAACCCCTGTACTGTACCTTCAGCTCGTTGAGATAACGCCTCGTGTGTACCACCAGCAGGTCCTCCTCCGAGGCCTCCCGCGCCTCCACCAGCATGCCATCGGACAGCAGCTTCTCTTCTGGAACCACAGAGCAAGCCCCTGCTTCCTTTCCGCTGACCCTCAGGCCAGGCAAAGCCGCCCCCCCCCCAACCCCCAGACCCTCCCCAGGCTGCTGGCTGGCCTCTGGCAGCCCCTCAGCACACAGTGAACTTGGGGGTATTCTGAAAATGGCTGCCTCCCTAGGCCAGTGTCTCTAGGTGTTGAGCTTGGAACACACAGCAGTCTCCATATTTTCTGGGCTGCTGACAGTGACCAGGTGAACTCGGGCATAACTGGATGACTTCCAGAAGCAGGCAGCACAAGGAACAGGCATGCTCTTGAGGTAGAAAAGCAACCTCTTCCTCAACAGGTGGCTTAGGACAGCATGGCCTCTCCTCAGCCTCTGCCTGAGCCTTGCTCATCCTCCTTGCTAACAACCAAGGGAGAGCAGCACAAGCCAGAGCCAAACAACTGCTGTGTTCAGAGCACTGCCTTCCTGCGGGAACCTTCTATTTATGGCAAGCGAAACTGCCTTTTCCCACATTGATGACATGGAGTTCCTTCTAAAACAAATTTTAAGTTAAAAAAAAAAAAAAAAAGTCCCAAGGCTCAGCCATTTAAAAATATGCAGTAAACACAGGAGTAAGTGGTACAGGGAACATCAGCGTGTCCAAGTGGCTTACAGATGTCTAGTTTCACTTCATTTTGCAAAAGAAACTGAGGCTGAGAGAAGGCACTGCCCTCAGAGTACTGTGAGACTGGGCCATGATGCTCTGGGTTCTAGAGAAATCAGAATCTAGGTTCTAGTTTCAATGAGTCATACCCAGAAACCAACCAGTCCCATCCACTTCTACAGGCAGACCCAGGCAGGTGCTCCCAGGACCTCTGACACTTGCAGACTCAGCCAGTTCCCTTCCTGCCAGGGCCTCCAAAGAGCCTGCCCTGTGGTCCTGCCTCCCATCCGTCCTCATCCTCAGAGGAACAGGAGTAAAAGGGGCTGGCTGTTTGCTCCCAACTGAGGGAGATGAGGGACCCTTGTGTTGAGCCACTGGGAGAGATGGAAACCCCCGGGGGCAGAGCAAGCGCCAGCAAGAAACCATTTGTACAGGCAACAGATGCGCAAGGCTAGCGTCCCAGGCTCACACCAACACCACACATCATCTGCGTGCTTTCTACTCCATGTTTTCCTTTGGATGTTCAGGCTGGTACCTACAGCAGAGGGGCAAGCTGTACCACTCGCCATAGATAGAAGGTCACCAGAGGAACAAAAACAAACCCAACAGAAAGAGCTGTGTTATTAATGTCTAATTTGGTACTATTTTCTGCACAATGCAGAGCTGGAGGCCTGCTCTAGATTTTTAGGAAGGGAGATGGGGACTAGGTCTAACTAGGGAGTATGAGACAGGGCCTGTTGTGCTTAGCAGCCTGCCTGGAAAGATCCTTTAACAGCAGGACAGAAGGCAGTCTGGGGCTGAATCCAGATAAGGGTGGGATGGATGCAGAGATGGAGGAGGCAGGTGCAGGTCTAAGAGGGTGGTGAGGCTGGGGAGAAGAAATGGAGGCAGATCCAAATCTGGGGGGGGCGGGCTTTCTTACCTTTCAGGAAGTTGATCACCTTGCCCCATTTTCCAGCATCAAAGGGGTGCAGTTTCTCCAGGCCCATGAAGGTGATGTTGTAACGTGGCGAGTACACGATGGGCCAGCGTTTCTCTGGTACATGCTGGTACAGCTGTGTTGCGTGCGGCCTTCGATGTGCAGAGAGACAGACGCAGATATGGAGGGCAGCCTCCTTGTGGAAAGCAGTCTCCTCCCCCCTCCCCATTCACACCAGGAGGTCACTTAACACCAACAAGAATGAAAACAGCTCCTTCCTGAGCCCTGGCTGGCTTTGCCTAAACCTGCATCCAACACCTTCCTCACAGCAGCTCTGGGGACCAGGTGTGCCCAAGGTCACATGCCAGTGCCAGGTGTATTCAGTAGTGCTGGCTCCAAGGCCCAAGGCCTGCACGGGGGAAGGCGGGGTGAGGGGGGTGGAATGTGGTTGTCTCTCACGAGCCAGCTCACGCATCTGCGAAGCTGGGAACAAATTACGCTGGGGGGGGGGGGTAAGATTGTAGCTCGCGATTGCAGGAGGCTGTACCCTCGTCGCAGCCCTGCAGCCCACCGCGGTGCCCTGGGGAGCGGAGACCCACAGTTCGCCCTCCCAGTTTCCCAGCCTGCCCCACCTGTCCCGCTGCGCCCACGGGGACCCCCAACACCCAGGCTTGGCCCCATGAGCGACCCCGCACACTCACATCCCGCAGCCGGCCCTGCCTGCTCTGGCCGCCACTCCGCACCGGGAGGGGTGGGAGGGGTGCAGAGGGCGGGGCCGGCGCAGAACACGCCTCCGTGGCGCTTGGAGCTGGGGGTGGAGCTAGGCCTGCAGCTGCGTCACAGACAACCAGACCGCGCCGGCCAAGAAGAGGCATCCAATGGAGTCCCGCCTGGGGGGTGTGGTCAAGCGCAGCTCCGCCCGCATTCCCAGGGTAGAAATAAGCAGACCCTAGCTTAGGTGGTGTGACTTCTCTGTGCCATTCGCGCCTCTCAGTGTGGAGGTGGTGGGTCTGTTCTGGTCCTATCATCCCCGATATATATTCCCTCCTGGGGTGCAGCCCCTCCGCTCCTGAACCATCTGTGGCTTTTTCACCGTGGTATAAGCACTTCCCACTTGTCATAACATTCCTTGAACTATAGTTTCCCTGTCTGTAGGGCAGCTCTGGTGACCCCGTCCTTAGAGTCCAGTTGTATATATTTGAACATTTCTCCTGTCTCCATTTCCCCTACATTCTGGCCCTGGAAGCTGACTGACAGCTGGGGGGGGGCGGGGGTGTGTGTGTGGCTGGAACCTGGGAGGAAGCCTCAACAATAGAGCCCAGAAGCAAAGACAATGGGCCTCTGTTGGCCCAGCTGTCTCCATCAACCAAACAGAGGCAGCTGACCAGAGGGCTGCCAGGAGCTAGCCTAGCATGGCAGCTGGGAGCCCAGGGCCTCCAGGGTCATGTGAAGGGAACCAAAAACATTTTCTGTTTTTTAGGGGGTGGGGGCAGCGTGCCAGTGTGATGTGTAGATCGGAAAACAGCTCTGTGCAGACAATTTTCTCCCTCCACCTTTGTGTGGGTTCCAGGGATTGAACTCAGGTTCTCTGGCCTGGGCACCAAGAGCATCTATTTGCCAGCTGAGTCCTATCATGGGCTGACAGTTTTGAAGAGTGCTTTTGATGAGTCTACCGTTAGATAATTTTTCAAAAAATATGACATAGATTGTGAAAGATACTGAGACAGATGTCCTTGGGAGTGTGAGCTCATTCAAGAGTCACTGCACCAGCCATTGGTATTAGGGTGGAGCCTGGGGAGACAGAGCCTTTGGTTCAGGGGACAAAGGCAATTTCTTGTTCTCAGAGGCTTGGGAGTTTCCATACCATATGACCTAGCCTATGTGCTAGGAGTTATAGAGCCTGAACCATAGTAGATAAGTCCGTGAAGTTATAATTCAAAGTTGCTTTAGGCTTGTGCAGGAAGAGGGAACGGTGTTTGATTATCACAAACCAGGAGGGAAGTCTTCTTTATCTTTTTGTTATCATGAGGCTGGAACCCATATTAAACCCAGACTGGGCATCTGCCAGCATCCTGGCCTAGGGAAGGTGAATCAGTTCTCTGGGCTTTCACTGCTGCATCTAGAGAGGAAGGCAGTGGTCCTGACTGTCTACCTTCTGGAGAGGCCGAGAGACTCCACAGATAACATCGGCTCCTACTGCGTGCCACATCAGTCCCAAAAGCCTCATGCATATCGAACTCCAAACAACCCTGGAAGGCAAACTGTCCCCATTTTATACAAGTGAAACTGAGGCAAAGAAAAAAAAAAGAGTGGAGTCACTTGCCCAAATATCAAGGGTGTGGATAAATGTGTAAAATTTAGTGACCAAACAAACCAAGAACAAAAACCCACGCATGATACTGCCCGAGAGGCTGGTCTCATCTCAGGGGACTTGCTCGCTCTGGGACTTGGGAAAGCAGCACAGGTGAGCATCAGGTCAGAAGAGCGAGGGTCAGAGAAGGCAGTACAGCATCTAGGAGCTGAGGCCCGAGAGAGCAGAGTTGGTCTAAGAGCAGATCCTCAGCTTTGTTTTTGTCTCTGAGCAGGGAGGTAGTCTGAGGAACGCTGGAGATTGTGAATTCTTCCAGACTGTCATGGCGGGCTGGACCACCTGTCTGCACAGTCACAGGTGTGTGAATAAGCTGTGTGATTTGAGCAGTTGAACTGGGGGGGGGGGAGCTCTTTGTTACAGCGTTCTAGCACATCTGTTTAGACCCAGCAATAGGGCCTCAGCTGTGCACACAGTAAACTGGGTGGACAGCCTCAGCCAAGCCCACAGGGTGTAGAAGGAACAAATCTTTTACTTCTTAAAATGTGTATGAGTTTTTGCCTGCATGTATGTCTATGCGCCACATGTGTGCCACAAGGAAGCCAGAAAAGGGTGTCAGATCCCCTAGAATTGGAATTAGACAGTTATTAGCCACCATGTGGGTGTGAGGACTTGAACTCTGGGTCCTCTGGAATAACAGCAAGTGCTCTCACCCTCTGAATCATCTCTCCAGCCCCCAGGAAACCAAAGCCATAATTACTAAACATTGTATCATTGTAAATTGTACAAGCCAGGCCCTGAGGCAGTAGTGGGCCCTGGTTCACAGCAACCTGGGAGGGCTGCTTCCATGAGGTGGTTTTTACTTCCTTCAGCGCTGTATTTTCACGTCGTCACTGTGACAAGACACTGACTTACTGAACATTGTATATTTATTATCCTTTCCCATTTATGCCATTCGTATCATCTTGGGATATTTTTTCAATTAAAAATGAACGAGAGCCACAGGTGCGGCTCCCATGGTAGAGCA